GGAGTAGATGTAGCAGGGACAGCCAGGTATGATTTGGCCAGATGTGTGAGGTTGGGGAACCTTGCTGCATTGTCCTTCCACCATTGGAGAGTGACATGTGACTCCCAAATATGCCTCAGTGGCAATACTTGTCCAAGCATCAGTAGTGAGTGTGATTTTTGATGAAGCATTAAAAATGTCTTCTTTCACACTCTCAACTGTAGCCTCATATTTTTTCTCCATCAGCTCTGTGAAGTAATACCTGGATGGAAGTCTGTATCCTGGATGAAATGTATTAATCATTTCACGAAAACCTTAACCCTCCACAACTGCAAGAGGTCTCATGTCTTTAATAATCATTTGTAGGATACTGTTAGAAAGCTCAGCAGACATCTGTGGTGTGCATGGATTCATGCGCCTTTTGTGGAAAAAGTCATCTACGGTGCTTTGTCGCGGGGTCCTGAAACAGACAACGGGATAAAAAGTGGCATAATTAGAAAATGTGTATATGTGTAAGAGATTTAACAAATTGTAATGTTACTGTGGACTATTTCATTTGTATCTGCGTTTGTACAAACATCGTATTCCCGCATTTTCACTCTCGCCCTCCCGACAGTAGTTTAACAACAGCAGTGCTGCAGGCAGAAGAAAAGTTTAACAAAAGAAAAAGAATTACCGACGAGAACACATTCTTTGTACCGTATAAAGCTAATACTGTTACATTTGGTAGGAACAATATGAAAAGTAAACAGAACTTACGGTGCTGTCTTGCTTCCGCTGGTGTCCTGAGAAACTGCCCCGGGATGTTTCCTTTTCAAATGCTCCTGCATGGTGCCGGTGCTGTTGTGAAACGCCATTTCTGCTTTGCAGAGCACCATGTTGTTTGGTATCTGTTTAAAATACTGCCAAACCTTTGGTGACCGCAGTCCCGGTATTTTCGCGTTCCCCGGACACGCAATGCTGCTAGTGCTATGTGTGCCTATGCTCGCGTTACTGCCTACTTCCTACTTATCTTCTTCTGCGTCCTTTTAAAGGGCGGTTGGCATCCAGCTTTTGGCGCATTACCGCCACCATCTGCTCTGGAGTGTGAAACTGAAACTTGTCTTACAAATTTTTTTTTGTTTCCTACATATGACAAGTCGACGATTAATATGCAAATCGACTAATTTTCATAATCGATTAAGTCGAATAATCGCTACAGCCCTATTGTATAGTGCTTTTCTATGCATTGCAGCACACTCAAAGCGCTTTCACACTATTTGGCCATTCACCCATTTGCACTCCCAAATTCACACACCGGTGTCATCATCAGGAGCAATTGGGGGTTCAGTGTCTTGCTCAAGGACACTTTGACATGTGGACTGGACAAGCCGGGAATCGAATCAGTAATCATCTGGTTAAGAGACAACCCGCTCTACCTCTTGAGCCACAGCTGCCCCCGCAGATTTCATGTTTCCTTAAAAGTTACTGAGCTAGATCGTGATTGGTTTTCTTGAATAACTTTCAAACTAAGATATCAGTGTGATTCCAAATGCCAGAGGTAGGCTTTCATGGTCAAGGAATCATATTATGAAGGTCACACTATCTTAGTAATATTGCATTTAGGTGTAATAGGGACAGTGAGCTGCCTTGGTGGAGGTTTGAGCTCTCTGAGTGCGGTCTGGTTGCATCAGATCTCCTTTTAGGGGGAGATGGTGCATCCTGACACGTGCCAACCCTGTTTGACCACATGGATATTTATAGCCACATACTGAGGACTAGATTATCTTATTTGAAAATGTTTCTTAATTATCGTACATCTCATAATGAAAATAATATTCACAATACATTTTTCACAGTGAGTTCCAGCAGATCAATTGTGGATTTTATTGTTAATTATAAGTTGAGGTGGCCAAAAAAAACACATTTGGGTTCCAGTTCTCATGCTTTACAGCCAGCCTGGTACCTGTGGTACCAACACAACCAATTTATTTTGACCACGGCAGCCTACAGACACCCACTAATAAGCAGCCTACATTAGGGGATTGAAGTTGTTGACTATGCAATGCAGTGGATGCAGATGTTTAATTTTGTTTACATATTCAGGGATTCATAATAGTTTTTTGTATACAAGAAGCACATTTTATTTATGTGCAAAATGTGCAGTTTGAAGGTTTTGTTGGCACTATATCAATCCCAATGGGGAAGAATATCTATTTTTGTAATAGCATGCAATGTTAAATTTGTTTTCAGAAGTATTTTATCAAAAAGGGAAAGCTTTTTGTTTGTTTGTTTTTTTGTTTGTTTTTTTAAAGACGAGGTGGTTTTTATTTTTTTTAAGTTAGTTTAAAGGTGCGTAGTGTCACTGTCAGAGAAGTGAACATTTTCTAAGATATATTTTCAAAATTGGGAGATTAGCTCCCTGGAATTTGGGACAGTGTTTGAAGCAAGTAGAAACCTTGCTGACAATTTACATTTTCACTGTTGCTTACAATGGCAGGGCCTGCCATTGTATTTACAAGCATGTTTCAAGGCTTGTGATTGGTTGCACTTTAACTTTTCTTTTAAATGTAGGTAAAATCCCATATGGGGAAAATCAAAATAAAATAAAAGCCAAACTTGTTTTAAATAATTTCTTTGTCATTTGTAGTTTGTTTTTAAGAGGAATATTAAAATTGTAAATCAGATTGGGTGTGAAAAAATCTGAGATTTTATTTTTAAGCTATATCGCCCAGCCCTACTACACAAGTCTTAGAGAGACCGATGTGTGTGCCAAGTCTGAGAGAGTTAACCTCGTAGAGTTCATTGAGGAAAAAATGTTTTTCTTCATCCTGTCAAAAACAAGAGTGATGTGTTAAAATGTTTGCTCAGTATCACTAACACTAGGTAAATATAAACTGTCTACCACTGAATGAATGATGTTCGTATACTTCATAATAACTTTGATAACTTCATAATCTCCCTGGATATTCTTACTGCAGTTGCTGAGACAATTTTTTTCCTATTCTTTCTTCCAGTGAGGACTCTGATGACAAGCTTTCTAAATCCAAAAATGATTCAGCAGGTAAGTCGGTCTTTTTTCTGATTTAGTTGAGAGGGCTGGCTTAGGTTCTCACTGAAAACAGCTGGAATTTGATTAACAGACTTCTCTATCCCTGCATCAGATGACTTTGGCAGCGATGATGAAGACAATGAGTTTGGAGAGGAAGAGGATGAAGATGGAGGAAGCGACTATGAAGAGAAAAGGGGGAAAAAAGGAAAGAAAGCCAAGGTGGAGAAGCCAGGCAAGAGGGGGCCGAAGAGGAAACGATCTGCAGGTAATAATGCGGTTTCTTGTTGCTACACATTTACCTGATTAACTCTGTGAAGAACTTGTGCATAAAACTGATTTTTTTTTTTTTTCTCCAAGTGTGGAATATATAGTATATGTTATGTCCATCAAAGGTTTGGAGTGCTGTTGCTTTCTTCCAGAAATAATATTAATGCATCTTTTATATAAGCATTTAATATTAAAAAAAATATATAGTGTGCAAAATACGCACGGGTAAACCAACTTAAAAAAGAGATTACCAAAGAATTTTGAAACAAACAATGTAGCCTACAGCACAGAGTTTACTAATTAATTTAACGGTTTGAAAATAAAGTTGGAATTTGATATTATTTTATCCAGTCTGAATCCAGCATCAAATTAGTGATGGAATCAACTTGAACAGAATTATTTTAATGAAAAAGCCATAATCAGCACTGGATAAAAATGAAAAGCTGCTGTCTGAATGTTTTGTGCACCCATTTATTAAATGTTATTTTAAAAGAATAAATTCATTTTTATATTTTACTTAACACTTTTGACTCAAACTGTCACTAAAACCTGTTTGTAGATGCACCATAACATAGAACCAGGTCACATTTTACAAGAATCATGTAGTAAACAGAGGTTAAATTAATTCTAGAAGAATACGTGACATAAATACCTGAACATAAATTATATTTACCTGTATGTAACCTAACTGTTATTTATACAGTTCAGTAACATCTTCTATGATGATTTCATTCCTGTAGTAGAAAAACTCTCAGAAACAACTTTTCATATGACCGTCCACAACTACAAAGTAGCTCCAGTCTCACAAATGACCATAAAACTGAGGGGACATGCCAATAAGTGTCAATAAATTTTGACATGTTGAGCTTGTTGACCCGTGCTGTTCAGTTAAAACTGCATTAAACTGAATTTCTATTTTTCACTTTTCTCTCTCTATAGCAAGTCAGAAGGCTACAGAGTGTGAGATTAGAATTCAAACTGGACAGTATATCAGTGAATAGGTTACAGCAGCAGGCAGTTTAATTTTAGTGACTTTTTCCCCCTCATCTCATATTTTTGTAATAAAGCTTCAAACAGGACCAAAGTTATTCTCATTTACTGTACATGTGAACTGAGTTACCACCAGAGTACGTTGAGTCTTAAATACTACTTGCTGGCCAAGCACACAGCTGATGCAGATGAAACAAAACAATTGGATCACTAATCACACTGGTCGGACTGATGAGCTTTCTTGCGTTTTTGAAACTTTATGGACTAAGGGGGCAAACATTCCGAGTCAGTTTATGAACTAGCATTAACTTTAACTTAAAATGGTGATGATGATAAAGTAAGTCAAAGCTAGCTTTTCGACCAGTGGACCTTTGTTCTCAGCTGATGTTGTAGCCATGAGATCATTTGGGACCTCCAGGATGTTTCAGAAGGCCAAAGAACAAGGCAGTTGTGGCCTTGTTGTGCAACCTAAAATAACAATGTTAGAAATTTGTACCAAAAACACTGTTCTTTTTACATGCAACTGCCGAATTTAAAACTACACTAACTTCGGCTTGGTGTTCGATGAGGCATGTGCCAGCCTTGCTTTGTGTTTATTCCTCCTACAGCTCAAGCTGTGGGTGACTGATGAAGTCATTTTCCTCCAACATTCCCAGACACTGTGACACTCCACTTTGATCTGTTACTGTGAATGGAAAGTACGAGGGATCAGCCTGATCAGTCATCTGCTGAGCTGAGTCTGATGGATCTTGACGGCATGTCATCCTTAAAGTAGAAGATGATCTAGACAATATCCTTATTATATATGTGTCTGCCCTTTTTCCCTGAATGGATCAACAGCTGTGTTTTAAAGTTGTAGCGTTTGGATGATCAACGGCGTCTTATTTTTTTGTGGTTGATTTTTAGTTCACCAAAAGAGCTACCCTTTTTTTTTTTTTTTTTACTTCTGCTTCATCAGCATTCATCTGAGTAATTAATCTCTACAGGCACATGTGTGTACCATCTGTAATTGCTGTGGAACCTGCAGTATGAACTTTCGAATCTCCTACACAGCATAAAACGACCTCTGGGCAGTGCTCCTCTGTGGCTCACTCTTTCAGACTTTGTAATCCAGTATACTGCTGGTGTTTGTTTCCTAGAATTAGCTACAGTATAACCTCTAGATAACAGGTCAAAAGTGTAGTTTTTTTTTGGGGGGGGCTAGGCTAATTTTTTGGATAGACCAGAGAAGAGAGTGTTACAGTAGCCAAGTCTGCTGGATAGAGAGAATGACTGTACTAGCAATATATTTAAATGATAAAAAAAACAGTAAGTAGGCCAGTTGTTAAAAGTGTCATGTATCTGTGGATGTCTTGTGTAGATGACAGTGATGACGAAAGGGAAGTGAGTCGGAAGCGTACAGTGCGCCAGGCAGCTTCCAAAGCTGTGTCCAAACAGAGGGAGATCCTGCTGGGTGATGGTGGCAGCGAGGATGAGGAGCACGAAGACCAAGAGGAGCCCTACCTGGATCGTATGTACAACTGCACTGTGCACTGATACAGTGACTTAAATACTATCAATATGCTGTCATATATTAGACCTGTAAGAAATGTCCGGTGTTTCTGGCTGTTTCTGTATGAGCACACATTACAACTAGTGTTTGTAGTTTCATAAAAATAAAGGCCTCACATGTCAAGATGCTTTAGAGCAGCGGTTCATAACCAGGGGTCATCTGAAAGCTCCCCACGTGATTAGTGGAAGGAAAATAAAATAGAGATGCACAGATATAATTTTCTTTGCTAATTTTTATTTCTGATTGACTAATTTATTTTTTTATTAAGTTTGACCTTCCTATTCTGATTTTCTTTTTCTAAATAAACATTTTTGAAACATTTCTTTAATTAAAAATTTTATTGTAATTAAAAATAAAACATTGCATTAAATTGACTTTTTTTGTCTTTCTCTCTCTCAAACAAATCAAACCAGTCAAATTCATAGGTATGGGACAGAAGTAGGTCACTGACCTTGACCTTTGACCACCAAAATGTAATCGATTCATCCTTGAGTCCAATTGGACATTGGTGTCAAATTTGGAAAAATTCCCACAAGGCGTTCTTGAGCAATTGTACACAACAATGGGGTGGATGTGAGGTCACAGTGACCTTTGGCCACCAAAATCTAATCAGTTCATCTTGGAATCCAAATGAACATTGGTGTCAAATTTGAAGAAATGTCCTCAAGGTGTTCCTGAGATGTTGCTTTCATGAAAACGGGACAAATGCAGTGTTACGGTGACCTTGACCTTTGACCGTGAGTCTTGCACAAGCTTCATGCAAGAATTTACACACTGCACACGCCAAGCTTTCAGTCTGTGCCACTGTGTGTGTGATGTGAACCGTTGTACATCGGTGCATCTTTACAGAAAAATACAGTTTAGCTGTACATATTTCTTCCCTGTAGTTTAACATTTTTTGTCTTGTAGAATACTGGATATATTAGGCCTCTAAAATCCTTCTGAAGAAAAACCACTTTTCAGTTGAAGTGAAAATATTTGTCATTGGGCATAACAAGTAGACACTTCCTAATTTGGTGAGTTGTTTTAAAGATTTGGTGGCTAGAACAGCAGTTGAAATGTTTCCTAGTGCTAGTGACTGTTTGGTAACAGTTTGCCTGAGCTAGCCAGAGTAGATGAAGGGTTGTGTTGGGTGTGTGGCTGCAGGCAAAGAGGGGGGTGGTTCTGGGACATTGGAACATACTGTTGAGCCTTCTCAGTGTCGTGGACCCAACTCAGCGAAACACCAGTTACTGTAAAGGCCCTCAGTGACACAGTATCTATAGAAGTGGAGCTTAACACTAAACAATGTTTTTGAAATTCCTCCTTACTTTTGCCTGGTGCTAGATTTCAGGATATTTCAGACTGCCTGTATGTAGACTGCAAAGGCTACAGTATGTCAGGTAGAACTGAAACTTGTATTCCTGTTAGTTGATTCTGTGTTGAGAAGATTCTTACATACCTCATTTCTGTGTGCAGCTGATGAGTCTGGCAGTGATGAGGACTTCATGGTGGAGGACGATGATGACAGCGACTATGGTCACTCCAAGAAGAAAAGCAAGAAGGTGATTCGACGGGGACGAACAGACAAGAAGGAGAAGAAAAGCCCCAAACCCCGACTAAAGGCCACAGGTGAGACATCTGGTTATTGTCTGCAGCGTCAGACTTGATTATATTTGATTTTATTGGCGTTAGAGGAGAACATCAATACCACTCTCATCTAGCTGTTAAATATAAAGCTTCAGACAGGAGGGACTGGGCTTAGCATAAAGACTGGAAATGGGGAAACAGCTAGCCTGGTTCAGTCCAAGGGACAAAGAGCATCTCTAACACTCCCTAGCAAACACCTAGTTTTTTCTGTATATAAGCAGAACTTAAAAAATGACACTTGATAGTTTCAGAAGGACTTGGTGTAACTATATATGGACAGACAATAGTTTCTGTCCATTACTTTTAGGAAGTACCTCTACTTGTTACCCATTAAACTCCAAGTGATGCCACTCACCGGGGAAGTTACTGTGCCTGGCTGTTGTTGGCCAATAAATGATTCCAGTTTGTTTTATTATTTTACACTTCTGATTAAACAAACTAGATATGTGCTAAATAGTGTTGATATGCATATTCCTAAACTTGAGTCAGGGCCAGACAAGCTGTTTCTTCTAGTCTTCATGCCAAACTATGTTAACTTCCTCCACCTTCTGTCTTAAAACAGTGATGTGGTACATACATACATACATACATACATACATACATGTTGTGAAGGAGTTTCCCCTGCAGTAATTTAGAGTGGCTAATTTTTTGTTTTTGTTTTTGCAAATTACACATTTTATTCAGATTTTAGTGCTATGTGAGTGCAGCACAGTCTTAATTATATAAAAAAGGATATTTGTCAAAGTAAAAGTGCAAAACTAATTCCATATAAAAGGCATGTAATAGACTGATGAGAATGAAACATTTTTCCTTTGGCTTGAAGAATAACATCTAGATTTAGACCAGAGTTCCCATGCCCTTGTTGCATGATAGGGAACTAACATGTTACCTTATGTGATTTAAGAGAAGGACTGGAGGGGGGTAACAATGTTCTTGCCAGTACTAAAAATTCTATCTGATTGTGTGCTTGTTGCACAAATACACATGTATTTGCTGGTGACTTTAGAGAGCAGAGGAAATCTACCCTGGTTGTCGCGGCACCAGGCAAGTGGATCTCCATTTGAGGGTATGGTCTCCTCCCTATAGGTAGCACGCAAGTTTGGTTTCTGCTCGTGTTCTTAGGTAAGGATGCGGAGGTGGTTGTCCATGACTTCAACAGGTTTCCAAGAGTCTTTTTGTTGCTCCATGTGGCCTCACTTGCACAGTGGGTGCTCACACACACGCATATATACACAACAGAGAAGCAGAGCTTGCTTTCAGCTTTGTTTTTGTTGTTGTCACTTTATCTTAAAATATCCCTGAACTGCTGAAATTTCTTCTCTGCTCAGCCAGTGTGAGGTTAATGTAATGTTGCCGTTAATTGGTATCGGTGGACAACCTCTGAGTATGAGTGGAGTACTAGAGGGTGGTATTGGACCCAATACTGGTATCAGCATCAGTGCATCTCTATTGTGGTTATCGTGACAAGCCTAGTTGTACAGTGGTTGTGTTTACTGTAATGCCCGGCGTCCATTGGAATGATCTGTATTAACCAAGTCAATAGACTGAAGAGAAGAAATGGGATTATGGGCTTTTTCATGCCGTGAGTTTTAGAGTAAAAATTGCATTCAAGGTAAATATTTAATGGTATTAAGCAGATTGAACGATAATTGATAATCACTATCTTATTTTGTCTTCTCCCGCCCCCTAGTGACCCCCAGCCCAATGAAAGGAAAGGGAAAGGGGCGCCCCAGCACTAAGGCCCTGGAGAAGAGCTCACCCAAAGAGGAAGAGGAGGAGGAGGAGGACCCTGAGAGTCCCCTGGAGGAAGAAGAGGAAGAGGCCGAGAAGAAAGAGACCTCCCGTGCCCCTAAAACAACGAAGGAGGCTGCCGGAGGGGAGGAGGAGGAGGAGGAAGAAGAGGAAGAGGACGGCTCAGAAGAGGAGGCGCCCTCTGGAGAAGACTAGAAGATGGTACCCATTTGAAGCCCATCCTCCATGTCTTTCTCTGTCTCTTCTCTGCGTCTATTTTCTTTTGTTGCCCTGCGTTTAGTTTTTATTTTTCCTCTCCCTCTTTCTTCCTCCCCCCCCCCTTTTCTTTTTTTTTTTTTTTTTCAATGGTTTGGACTTGGTGTGCTTGATGTGTGTTTTCTTGTAAAGAGTTTTTATTTTCAACATTCAGTCTCGCCCACCCTTCTGTCTTCATTCAGTTACAGCATTTCAGTGTAAGAATACAGGCAAGTTTGTTTTTTTTGTTTTTTTTCTCCAAAAGCTCAGTGCTAGTCAGCATCCATCCTGAGTGTCAACAATTTTAAGAAATTGTTCCAAGCTTTCCAGAAAGTTCAAGTGCTGTATTTACAAAGCAATGACAGGTCGAGGGCAGGGCAAAAGCCTTTACCCTCTCTTTGGTGCTTTGTGTTTTAGACCAGGAGCAGGCTTTAACAGAGCAGCATTTGTTTAAAAAAGATAAACAATCCTTTAAAACTGTTGATTCAGTTAAAGCGAAATCTTTTCCAGAGGAGCCAGCTTCTCTCAGACTATATTGTCATCCTGAACTTTTGTGTGGAGAATGAAGTAAAGCACATTATTCTGAGAAGTATTTTGCTTGTAGCTGCTGCTTTCCAGATCTAACAGTACAGCGTGTTATGGGTGGAGCGGTGGATCACCACAGAGTGCTGTGCTACATGCCGGACTGCCTCTATCACACATGTCAAGCCAGCATGTATGTGCTTTTATGTATTTGCTTAAATTTGTATGCTTGGGGGGGTATTTTAAGAGGGTGTGGCTTTTCCTTTCTCTCAGCACATCAGCTGCATATGTGAAATGGTTCCTGCTATTGTGTGCTGGGCTTTTTAATGATGCTATGTGAAGCAAACCCCGCCCCTTTCAAAACAGCCACGCCCCTCTGCCTGAATAGCTTTAACATCTTTTCAGCATTCAACCCCTTGTGCCAGGCACCCCGTAATCTGTTTTTGTTTTGTTTTTAAGAAATGCAAGATGTTTCTTTTTCTTTTCAGAGTAAAAAAGAAATGAATGTTGTTTTTTTTCTCCTGTTGGTTCATTGTTCTAATTCTCTATTCAGATTTTTTTGTAATGTTTGTTTTTTTAAGAAAAGAAATAAAATGTATCTTGATTTTAAAGAAAACCGTCGACCCTATCCAATCTGTTCTGACTGATGGTTGGACCAACCATCACTCCCTCCTTTACTCCTGTCCTTTCTTTCATTCACCCCCCTTTTCCCACAGTTGTTCATTTGTTTTTTGGAGCCCATGTTAGCATTTCATAAGCAGATACATTTTTAAACTTAGAATTGTACGGCACTGGGCACTAAGAAATGATTGAAACAATGAATTGGACAGCTCAGTACATATCTGCCATTCATTTGTCTTTTACTGCCTTAATTTTCATTGAGTTTCAGTAGTGGCTCTGATATCATCGCTGGAGGCCTGAGAATGTAATCTGTCCTCATGTTTTAGGTCTTTGCTTCAAGCTGCAAATTAGGCTTAGAACAAGTCAACAATTTGTATGACCATCTAAAGCCATAAACAAACTTAAAACTAGTGACTCAGAGATTAGATTGTGTTTTTTTTTAGATAAGTAGTGTTTGATGTCAAAGAAAAATCTCTACTCTTGTGACCTTGGGAACTAGACCTAGTTTATTAGGTGACCGTCAGAGGAAATTCTGATTCATCCCAAGGCTGCAATAGAAATCAGTCCTGGATGTACACGGGACACACTGGAACCTTGTCCTCGGTTCAGAAGCACATTGGATTGTTTTACAGCTGTCCTCATTAGCAGGTTAGCGTATTTTTCTACCTTAAAGTCCTAAATTGGCACCCAATCCTTGATGTCATTTTAAGACAATTGGATACGAATTTAAAGAACAGTTTTATACCAGTGTAAAGCTCTGAGAGCTGTTCGGAGTAGGATCAGATACTGTTGTAGCTTGCAGCACTGAGGGCTTGAATGAGGTCCCTCTTCATCATCCCACAGGAGGCACATGGCATAAGGCTATGAATTTCTCCTCTTTCATCCATTATAAGATTTTTTTTTTCTGTTGTACTGTTTTTGATGTTTCTTTTTCTAACTACATTCAGTTATTCTGGCAATGTAAATGTAAGCCAAGTTGTGATTCCTACAGGACACCAAGTGGAGAAGCTTTTGTCAGTAGTGTGGAAAAGGAACGCTGAACTCTTGAAACTTGTGCATGTTGTGGAAGCAATGATGATGATGCTGGTAATGGCATTATGTGGTCTTACAAAAAAAAGAGTATTAATGACTATGTTGGTAATGTTTTGGTTTCCCAGCTTCTAATAAAGGCAACCTACTTTTTATACGGATTTAACTACTTGTTTTGTGCCGTGAAGCTCTGTGTGCTGTACGGGTGGTGACTGGGAGAAAATGATGTGCCAGAGGGTTGGTGTGGTACGATCAGCAATATCCTTTGTCTACCAGTCAGTGGTGCTGTGTGCAACAGCAGCCGCATGCACTTCTCTGATTTGATGAACAGACTACACACATAACCATTTTAAATTGGATTAGGAACAATATTACTCAGACACTGCCAGCCCTGATTGGTTAAAAAAAAAAAAAAAAGATTAATCTAGGATCTAAAGAGCCATGAATAACATGTGCACCTCTTTTGTTCTGAACCCATAGATTCACACTTTTATTTGCCAGAACTAGTCGTCTTCTTCTTTCGGCTGTTCCCATGACAGGTCACCACAGTGAATCAGAAGTCACTGGTTTGCAACCCCTGTGGCTAGATTATTTGCCAGAAGTAGTACAGTAGAAAAAAACATGTTTTAAAAGGATAAAGAAAATATTAAACCAAATTATCTGAAAGACAAATCCACAAGAAAATAAAATTAGGGTTTACATTTTCTGAAAATCAAAAGATAATTTATATCATGTTGAACCAACGCATTAAATAGTAGCTTCATATATTTTCAAATGCACCTGTTCAACAAACCATGAAGAGAAAGGTGTTCATGTAAAGCTTTGGTCTAGTGTATTAGTGTGATTAGCCCTGATTGGTGCTGTCTTTTTGTTTGACAAACAAATGTTGAAAAGCTCAGGAAAACTTAAATGGGGTCAGGAAAGGTCAGGTCAAGAAAAATTAAATAACATTTCTGATCTGTGAGATGATGCTTACATTTATTATATGAGACCGCACAATCACCTGAAGTCTGCTGTTTTTTATTTGTGGAAGGCAGCATTTTTTTTTATTACAGATGCTGCAGTTTTTTAGGCAGATTTAGCCAGACTGGAGTTTGCCAAAATTTACCTGAAGAAGCCACAGTCCCTCTGGGAGAATGTCCTGTGGACAGATGAGACTAAAATAAAGCTTTTTTTGGTCGAGCACATCATTCTACTGTTTTCAGAAAATGTAATAAGGCCTTCAAAGAAAAGACCACGGTCCCTACAGTCAAACACGGTGGAGGTCCACTGATGTTTTGGGGTTGATTTGCTGCTTCAGCCACTGGATGTCTTGACTGTGTGTGTGGCTTTATGAAATCTGAAGACTACCAATGAATTCTGGGACACAATGTGGGGCCCAGTGTCAGAAAGTTGGGTCTCTGTCAGAGGTCATGGGGCTTACAGCAGGACAATGACCCAAAGCAGACTTCAGAAAGCACCAGAAATGGTTCCAGACAATGAGCTGGAGAGTTCTGAAATGGCCAGCAATGAGTCCAGATCTAAATCTCATAGAGCAGCTGTGGAGAGATCTCAAACAGCAGCTGGAAGAAGGAACCCTTCAAATCTGAGACCTGGAGCAGTTGGCACAAGAAGAGTGGTCCAAAGTTCCAGTAGAAAGGTGGAAGAAACTCACTGATGGTTACAGGAAGCAATTGATTTCAGTTATTTTGTCCAGAGGATGTGCTACCAAATATTAAGCTGAGGGTGTCAATAATTCTGTCCAGTCCATGCTTGGAGTTCTGTGTGAAATGGATCAGATTTGGCTTTTCTCTGCTTTTTTGTGTTGTTCCAATACAAACAAAAGAAGCAAACATGAGAATACCAAAGAATTTGTGATTGCAACAACTTTCTGGGAGAAGTGGTGTGTTATCTGACAGAAATGCAGGGGTGCCGATATTTTTGGCCATGACTGAATATGATTCACCCTCATCAAACCATTCGGTGACTCCTCATGCCTCGTGGATGGAGGTACTGTCAGTTATTCAGGGTTTTTTTCCCTTTAATTTGTAACATGAGCATAGGGAATGTTTATTGAACTGTGGCCACCATGACAATTGCGAGGAGACTGTAAAGGCTGGAATGTATTACAACAATGTCTCAAGTAGAAAACAGTCATTAAATTGTGAGACCAAATCAGTAATGTCAGCTAACATTTAAAGTATGTTAACATTAACCATCATAGGCTTCTTATCATACCAGACCATTAGACCATTGCAATCTGTTGCTGCAAAGATACTGAATGTACTGAACTAGGACAGAGTGCCTTTATAGCTATATCATTTGCTTATTGTTTGTAAGAGGAAAAATATGTTTATTCCTTCGGATGTTATGCATTCTGACCCTAAAACATTCAACTGCTCAGCTCCAACCCAGGAATAGCACACATTTTGATTCAAAGCCTGACTGGGAAGCAGATGTATTATAGTAAAATGTGCTAAAGGTTGGTGAGACCAAGTACTCATGTTAAATTATGTTTTGACCTTTCATTTCTGCTCTGTGCCTAGGTTTGTGTAGGATTTAAAGGCAATTTAAAGCTATAGTACAAAGCACCACTGGTGTAACAGAGCCACAACCTGTGTCTGTAGCAAGAAACTTTTCATTAATCATGAGCTTAATCAACTGACTTTCTAAAGAAAACAATAGTGTTTTAATATGAAGTTGTGTGTATGCGTTAATCTGCCAATATATTATGCTACTTGCTATTGACTTTGAATTCTTGTGCACCTCATAGTTTCCACGTGTGTCCTGAAATAACGATAACAGTGTTTGTAATTTGGTGGGGGTGAGGTGCTGGGTAAGGTATTATTAACAGTTTCTTCCTAGGTGCTTCTATCTTTCACTTGCTGGTCTTTACTTACATGAATGTGTGATTTAAT